TTAGAGACGGAGGGGCACACGGATGGAGATTAGAGACGGAGGGGCACTCGGATGGAGATTAGAGATGGAGGGGCACACCAATTTGACAATATATTTTCATGACCTGGACGAGGAGAGTGAATGTCCTGTAGCCAAGTTTGTGGATGACAGTACAATAGGTGGGAAAGCAACGGGTGAGGATGTTACAGAGTCTGCAGAAGGATATAGAGAGGGTCAGTGAAAGGGAAAAGTCTTGGCAGTTGGAATATAATGTGGGAAAATGTGAGGTTATGCACTTTGGTAGGAAGAATAAAAGGAACTGAATATTCTTTAAATGGAGAAGGACTGCTCAAAGCTATAGAACAGAAAGATTTGGAAATTTTTGTTCATGTATCACAAACAGTTCATGTTTGAATTCGGTGGGTAATCAGGAAGGATAATGGAATGTGGGCCTGACTTTCAAAGGGAATTCAGTATAATAATAAGGAGGTTTTACTAAAACTATACAAGGCACTAGTCAGCCCACAGCTGGAATACTGTGAACAGTTTTGGGTCCCTTATCTAAGGGAAGATATCCTAGCATTGGAGGCAGTCCAGAGATGGTTCACTACGGGGATACCGGGTATGGAGGGACTGTCTTATGAGGAGAAGTTGGGTAGTTTGGGCCTGATGGATTAGAGTTTAGGAGAATGAGATTCTCAGGAAATTTGACAGAGTAGATGCAGAAAGGTTGTCTCTCCCTGTGGGACAGTGGAGGACCAGCGAGTATAATCTCAGGATAAGGGGACACAGATGAGGACGAATTTTTTCTCTCAGAGGGGATTGAGTCTATGGAATTCTTTACCATAGAGGGCTGACGAGGCTGGGTCATTTAGTACATTAAAGGCTGAGAGAGACAGATGTATTAATCAGGAAAGGAATTAATGGTCACAGAGAAACGGCAGGAAAGTGGAGCAGAGGATGATCAGATCAGCCATGATCCCATTGAATGGTGGAGCAGACTTGATGGGCTGAATGGCCTAGTCCTCCTCTGAAAGCTGATGGTCTTATGCCTATGGACAATGGATGGATTGGGCTTCAATGACCATTTCCACGAACTCACGAGATTATAAGAACATGGGAGCAGGAATGGGCCATTCAGCCCCTAGAGCCTGTTCCAACCTGAGCAAGGTCATAGCTGATCTGTTTGTGGTTTCAACTCCACATTCCTGACTGTCCCCTATAACCTTTGACCCCTTTCAACCAACAGCCCTCTCTGACTCCACCCTGAATATATGCAGTGACCCAGTCTTCCACAGGCTCGCTCCCCCCCACCGAGAGAAGAAATTCCTCCTCATTTCTGTGTTCAATGAGAAACACCTTCATTTGAAATTGTGCCTGATTAATTCTAGAATTTTCCAGCGGATGGAACAGCCACCCTGTCAAATTCCTTCAGAAGGGTATGTCTCTTCACATTGGCTCCATGTTGATCCTACGACATGGGGAGAGGCCCAATGTGAGCACACCCATTGGTGCAAATGAACCTACCTATCCACCAATCAGCAGACAGGAGGGGCAGGGCCATACTACAGTGCCTCCCAGTGGCCAGGCCAGGTGACTACCAGACCCAATGGAGCATGCAACTTGCGATGGGCGTTGACATGGGACTAAACTCGTTTTAGTTAATCTTCTGTTTCAATACTTGTTATTTAAATTTTCTATGTAAGTTTCTAGCAAACAAAATAATAAAACTCTTCTTTTCTAATGCAACGTTTCCGTGACGCCAAGAATTTGTTGTAATGGAACACCGTGAGGTCCTTTCTTTCCCAAGGTCAGGGTCCACTCTGCAAGGGGATCCCAGTGGATCCTCGGAATCTCTTCATTGTCCTATGCAAGGTTGCTGAAGCAGTCTCTCAGCCAGGCAGGATGCTCCTGGACACTTTCCCAGTGACTCTAACTTATTCACAGAGTAGTAGATTCAATCTAGCCCGCACAATTCTCGTCTTCTCAGCCTGCTCACCAACATCAATACCATCGTGAAGGAGTGTTTGACCAAAACACACTAGCCCCCGCTCTCTCTCTCTCTCAGCAATACTCCACTCAGATCCCACAAGGAACTTCCGGCTCCTGGCCACATCGCAGCTTTGATCCCGCTAAATTCCAAAGGGGAGATGACAACCTCTAACCTTGATGTCAAAGCCACATTTGAACAAGTTGTTTTTTCATTCATTCACCAGATGTGGGTGTCGCTGGCTGGGCCCAGTATTTATTGTCCATCCCTAATTGCCCCCTTGAGAAGGTGGTGGTGAGCTGCCTTCTTGAACCGCTGCAGTCCACCTACTATGGGTTGACCCACAATGCCCTTAGGGAGGGAAATCCAGGATTTTGACTCAGCGACAGTGAAGGAACAACAATATATTTCCAAGTCAGGATGGTAAGTGGCTCAGAGGGGAACTTGCAGGGGATGGTGTTCCCATATATCTGCTGCCCTTGTCCTTCTATCCAAAATGTCACTGGGCCAAAGGGCTGGAACTCCCTCCCTAAGGGGCATTGTGGGTTTACCTACAGCCCATGGGCTCCAGCGGTTCAAGAAGACACAGAAATATGTAAAATAGGGGCAGGAATAGGCCAATCGGCCCATTGAACCCGCTCTACCATTCAATATGAATGTAGTTGATCATCCAACTCAGTCCCCTGTTCCTGCTCTCTCCCCCATATCATTTAGCCCCACAAACCATATCTTTCTCCTTCTTGAAGACATTTAATGTTTTGTCCTGAACCACTTTCTGTATCAGAGAACTCCACAGTCTCACTACTGCCCGGGTGAAGACATTTCTCCTCATCTCAGTCCTACATTGTATCCTTAGACGATGAGTAGCCCTGGTTCTGGGCTCCCCCACCATTAGGAAACGTTCCTCCTGCAGCTATCCCGTCTGGTCATAGAGTCATACAGTCACAGAGATGTACAGCACGGAAAGAGACCCTTTGGTCCAACTCTACCGTGCTGGCCAGATATCCTAAACTGATCTAGTCCCATTTGCCAGCATTCGGCCCATATCCCTCTAAACCCTTCCTGTTCATATACCTGTCCAGATGCCTTTTAAATGTTGTGTAATTGTACCAGCCTCCACCACTTCCTCTGGCAGCTCATTCCATACACGCACCACCCTCTGTGTGAAAAAGTTGCCCTTAGGTCCCTTTTAGATCTTTCCCCTTTCACCTTAAACTTATGCCCTCTAGTTTTGGGCTCCCCCACCCTGGGGAAAAGACCTTGGCTATTCACCTTATCCATGCCCCTCATGATTTTATAAACCTCTATAAGGTCACCCCTCAGCCTCCGACACTCCAAGGAAAATAGCCCCAGCCTATTCAACCTTCCAATCCTGGCAACATCCTTGTAAATCTTTTCTGACCCCTTTCAAGCTTCACAACATCCTCCCCATAGCAGGGAGACCAGAACTGCTCACAGCATTCAAAAAGTGGCCTAGCCAATGTCCTGTACAGCCACAACATGAGCTCCCAACTCCTATACTCAATGCACTGACCAATAAGGG